CATCCTCGTCTTCTCGGAAAAAACCTTAAAAATGTAGAAAAAATACTTTTTTTGTGTTTTAAAGTTTTTAAACACTTTTAAAAGTTGTTTAAAGTCTTTAAAAGTCTTTCAAAGTCTTTTAAAGTTTGTAAAAGCTTTTAAAAGCTTTTAAAAGTCTTTTAAAAGTCTTTTAAAGTCTTTTAAAGTCTTTTAAATGTCTTTTAAAGTTTTTAAAAGTCTTTTACATATTTTAAAAGCCTTTTAAAGTTTTGAAAAGTCTTTTAAAGTTTGCAAAAGTCTTCTAAAGTTTCTAAAAGTCTTTTAAAGTTTTGAAAAGTTTTTAGAAGGTTTTTTCTTGCATTTTAAAGTTTTTAAAAGTCTGTAAAAGTTTTTAAAAGCCAACTCTGTCGAACAAGCCCTGTGGATCTAAACCCTGTGGTTCTGGTTCGGTGCAAAGGGTCAATGAGTTTAGGGTCGGAAATAGAAGTGGAAATGCATAGTGCAGTTTGACCTTAAGAGACTCTAAACCCTGGACCCTAAACCCACAAGAATATACCCTTACATCCCAAAGCATAACCTCCCAAACCCGAGAGCTCGAAGCGCCATTTCTAAGCCAGGCCCTGAAGCAAAGCCAACACCATCCAAGTCCTCCAACCGCCAACTTTCTTCTAGAACCCCCAAGCTTCGTAGGGTGAAGCCAAGCCTTTGCAGGGAGCCAAGTGGCCATGCCAGACTGTTTGCACTTCCATTCTAGGGAGCCAAATGGCCATACCAGACTGTGTGCAGAGCCATGCAAGGCAGGTCCATGCTGCAGGAGCACAGCTTTTGCCAAAACACAGACCATTCGCAGCAACAGCAGCTGCCAAGCCACCAGGTATCTCCACGGCAGCATTGCTGAGGGTGCCATCAAGACCAAGAAGACCAAGAAGACCACGAAGGCTGCCGGAAACCCAAGCACAGCAGCTGTGCACCAGCGGCCAAAAAAAACGCCTCCAGTTTCGATTGCCTGAGCCGTTGTGGCCATGCCAGGCCATTGAGTTTGTTGTTTGAAAGCCAAGTGGCCAGGCATGCCATGGCACACATGTTCGTCTCTCTTTTTCGTTCCGCTGCAGCCTCTTTTGGCCATATAGCGAGCTGCCCACAGCTAGCCAAAGCCTCCACTCCAGTGCCGCCATGGTCAAAGGAGTCAAAAAGCCAGCGGCTGCCAAGGAGGCCACGACCAGGACCAAGCCCAGGGCCAAGAAGCCGGCAGCAAAGCACGACTCCACGGACTCCACGGCCGTCTCTTCCAAGCCCGTCCAGCCTCCACCACAGGGGACAGTGACGGCCCTCCCAAGCAGTGCCATGCTTCCACCAGAGGAGCCCATCGGGCCGCACGTAATGCTGCGGTGTGTGGTATGCCACCGCTCCACTATCTTTCTTTGGAAGCTCTATCACAATGCCAAGTGCACCCAGTGTGATTCCCCATGGATCACCAGCTTGGCGGGAGGAGCAGGCCTCGTCTACAGGTGGTGAGGGGCCACCCACCACCAGCAACCAGGCACCATGGGCCACTTTCTTCCATGCCACCAGGGCCTCTCTCCAGACGGCCCAGGTCGGCCATGGCTGCAAAGGTATGGAGGCCATTGGTTTTTTTGAAGGACCCAGCCTGCACCATGCAGGCCAGCAGCAGCATCTCCAAGCCGTGCCAAAAAAAGGGTGCTTGAACTCCAGAAGCCTTCCATGGCCATACCAGCAGCAGGTTGTCACATGCCAAGCCACAAAGGCCATCACATGTGTTATTTTTTTTGTCGGTTATATATTTATATCTGCACAGATGTATGCTTTTTTCTATATGTTCAGAAGACCATTTGGGTGAACATCCATGGAAGGACACATACATGTTTTGTACAGATATAGAGACATATATAGAAATGATTTGTCTGGAGTAACTTGTTTGTATATTAGATTCTGATTGTAATGAAGATATCTTTGTAAGCCATGTATCATATACTCAGCACCAACAGAAACAGGCAGAAGAAGAACAGCAGCATGAGCAGTCACAACCAGAGCAAGCAGCAGCTGCACACTGGAAGACCAAGAAGGACAGCTGGCCACGGCCACAGCAGCAGCAACAGGGGCACCAAGCTTGAGACCAGCATCCATTCCGATAGGGGTCTATAAGCTTCATGGTTTAGGGTCTGAAATAGAAGTGGAGATCCATAGTGCCGGTTCACTTCAGTAGACCCCAAACCCCAGACCCCATATAAACCCAGAACGATGTACCCATGAACCCCAAAGCCGAAACCTGCGAAACCCGAGAGCTCCAAGCGCCATTCCTATGCCAGGCCCTGAAGCAAAAGCCACCAAATCCAACTCCTGAAACAGCCAACTTTCTGCAAGAACACCCAAGCTTCGTAGCAGCAAGCCAAGCCATTGTAGGGAGCCATGTGGCCATGCCAGACTGTTTGCACCACCATTGTAGGGAGCCAATTGGCCATACACACCGTCCCTTTTGTCAGCCCAGGTAGGTACGTGACCACAGTTGTTGCCAGAATCTTTGCTCTTCGGAGCAGCCCAGAGTGCTCGAACCACTGTAGGAAGCCACAGACAGAAGTTTTGTATGTCACCATACTGCCAAAGTAAGAAATATAGTAGATTCAGAATTTGAATCTAGTTCACAGATTCTGGTAGTTAGATTCAAATTTTGAATCTAAGATTCTCCAAGATTCAGAATCTGAATCTTACTACCAGATATCCGCATTTAGATTCAAATTCTGAATCTAGCCATTTTACATACATAACAGCCACCATATAAACATCATCAAATATTTCCACATAAACTCAGTCGTCCTCCAGAGTGCCAGCCACGGCCACGTCGCCGACGGAGGTGCCAACGAGCCCCAGCGAGCACCCCACCGAGGTGCCCACAGAGGAGCTGGCCGACCCAACCTTGCCAGAAGAAGGCCCACCAGGGCAACCAACGGTCCAGATCCCCCTGCGATGCCCATCCCCGGAAGCTCCCACCGAAGCCAGCCCCACACAGCCAGGAGCCCCGCCATCACCCGTCACACCTTTCGACGAGCAGACCACAGCCCAACCTCCGCCCAAACTCAAACCCCCCATTGCCCAACCCGTCCCCCCAATGCCATGGCCCTTCCACGTCCCAATCCCCAACCCATGCCCAATCCCCAACCCATGCACTGGCTATGCTCGGCCCAGGCCACTTGTGCCAGCACTGGCACACACCTGCTTTGAGGCCACCGCCACACTGCCCATGGCATCCACAGCACCCATAGCACCATGCACCTGGCCAACACCAGCTCCCATGTGCATGCCTCTTCTCCCCACCACCAATCCACTCCTACCAAGGATCCCCTTCCACCCCCCCGCCACTTCGCCCGCAACATGGCCAATCCCCGCTTGCCATGCTGCCACCGCACCCACAGCACCCAAACCACCAGTCCAGTGTCCCGCCAGCAGTGGCCTCCCAGTGTCCTTTGCCCCACAGCAGCTTCAACCAACCGCCCAATACATCCAAACCATCCAGCCCAAAGCCCCTGTCAGTGGCCCAGACATGGGCCCCAAGCTGCCGTCCAAAGCGCCACCCACACACCAGCAGAGCCCCTCCCACACACTCCACCGCACCACGGCCATGACACCGCCACCAGGCAGCACCACACCCAACACACCGGCACCAGACGGCACCACACCCGGCACACCGCCGCCAGACGGCACCACACCCATCACACCGCCAGCAGGCAGCACCACCATCACACCCAAACCCAAGCTCAAATACCCACCAGGCCACAGACAGTGCATGAGGAGGTTCCAATGACACCACCCCCAGCCAAGTCCACCATTTCCACCCCTTTCAGCACCCCTCCAACCCCAATCCCACAACCCAAGACACCACCCACACCACCGCCGCCAACAACCCCACCAGTGGGAGGGATCAACCTGCTCCAACGAGCCCAAACCCCACCAAGATCACCGCCACAATCAGAGGCCAGGTCCAGCTCCAGTGCACCAAAAGCCAAACCTCTCATGCTGCGAGCAAAGTGGGCCTGTCCACCACCGGGGCCACCACCAGCAGAGCCAGTTCCGTGGAGCCAAGGCATTTCAGGAACCAGCCACAGCAAGACCAAGAGCACGGGCTGGAAACATAAGGTTGGCTGGCTAGCCATCTTGCTCCACAACCAGAGATGGACCAGGGCCCAAGAGCTGGCCAGTGTTTTCATCCAAGAGGCCAACGAGCAAGTCGCCACCGGGGCAACCCAACTGGAGACTGCCAGTGGTTCGCCAACATGGTGCCAGAAGTGCCTTTGGCTTTCCAAAGCCATTGCCAAGGACGACCATGGACGAGCCCAGAGACAAATCCAGTGGCAGCTCGACCAGATATAGATTCCATAGTTTTCATTCTACAATAACAATAACAGCATGCAGCATAGGCTTGATCCGGAAACCTCCCAATCTTTTTTGTTGCCATTTAAGCCATTCAGTGGTAAAGCCTGCCAACCACTTGGCCCAAGGTACATGGGGGAGCCCAAGTTCGGGGCCTGGGTCCAGGACCAACTGGACCAGATGGAGAGATCTGGGGCCACCACTCCAACGGCCATGCCAGATCGCTACAGAAGTCTCCAGTGACCACAAGGCCAGTGTGTCCATTCACAAAGATGACCCATGCAGTTTGCTCCTGCCAGGACCAAGGACGACCATGGCTTCTTCCAGACAAACCACGTGAAACCACAGCTGCCACAGTGGTCGCTGCCAAAAAGAAAGCTTTCAGTGCTCTGCCATGATCTGCATGCAAGCCAATCGGCCATACCATGCTTTGCGAGCCATGTGGCCAGCACCCTATTTTTCGAAGCAGCCAACTGGCCATGAACACATATTTATACTATATATATATATATATCTCTCTCTGAACTTCATTTCAAGTCGCATTCCTTTGTGTTTGTTTCCCATGCTTTCTTCATTGCAGCCTTTTAGGCCATTCAGCCCGACCAGGCCAGTGTGAGCAGCCAGTGCTTCTCAGGGCCATGCAGCGGTACGGGTGCCAAGACTTCGTCGAGGAGATTGCTCATCTCCAGAAGCTGGCCGAGATGCTGCCAGACTCACCAGTCACCGAGAGCATGGCCAACACCTTCATGGCTAAGATCCAGGGATTCCAGTCCTGGTCCTCGGAGAGCATCTGCCAAATGCTTGCCAAGGCCGGCGAAGCTTCCAAACTGCCAGAGGCCATGAAAGCAAAGATTCTGGACACCATCCAGAATTTGTCCATGAACACCGGCTCCCAGCTCAAGTTGGTGAACACTGGCCAGTCCGTCCAGCGGCTGTGTCCATACTTGACCAGGCCAGACTGGGTCGCTTTGTCCACCCTCACGAGCCAAACGGACCAGCTGGAGCTCTTAGCCAAAAGACTCCGAGCCATGGGACTGCATTCTTTAAAAGAATGCACCAAGTGCCAAGCGGTCGCCATTGTCTTGATGGTGCAAGCTTCGCAAGGCAAGCCAAGCCTTTCGGCAGCTGCCATCAACTCGGCAGTCCAGGACTTCGGAATCATCTTCCAGTCCCTGCCAAGCAGCAATTGCCCCGGCGCCAGCAGATATCCAGACCATCCATCAGAGATGGGCCAGCTTTGGCTCTCCAAGGCCTATGGTCCAGGCGACCAGCCAGATCTGCAGGACCCATGCCTGGCTCCATTTTTGAAGAAAGCCCCTTGGTTGCATAACTTGGATCTGTTCCGTGTTGCATTTGTTTCTTGCATGCATGTAGACATTTCTACGTCTTCGTCCCCGAGGTGCCTCTTCGAAGCACCCATGCTTCATTGGCCGGCGGCACCAGGTGCAGGTCCAAGCGGCCTCCAGCGACACCTCAGGGCTCCACCTTAAGCTTCGACCAGGAGCTGGAAATGCTGAAGCTGCGGCATGGCATCCAAGCCCAAGCAGCCACACAAGGCACAGCCACTCTGCAGGGAAGCCAAGGGCCCACCGCCGCAGCAACAGCAGTGTTGCCTTGGCTGTCGCCGCGAAGCATGGTCCAGTCCCACAGCCAGAGTGCTGCCAGCACAACTGCCCCTGGCCAGGTCTTTGGCCAGAGCACAGCATCTGCCGCTGCTTTGCCACTTCCTCCGGCAAGCCCGCCTCCTGAAGCCACGACCAGAGTCGAAGCAGCTCCCACGGAGACGACTGCCAAGGAAGACAGTGCCAAGCAGGACACGTGTATATTTTTGTTTAGTTTCCTTCCATACTGCTTATTCGGGGTTGTTCTGCAGCATTTCACCCTGCAAGGACGCCAAGACATTGCAGGAGTACGAGCAGGAGCAGTTCCAGAAGCTGCTGGATGCCAAGGCCGACAAGAAGAAGAAGGCCAAGGAGGACGGCCAGGCCGACCAGAAGCCCAAGAAACAGCATATGAAGCGGCCAGCAGCAGCCATGTCTACCCGACAAAGCTCGGCGAACCAGGGCACCACCTGCAACGGCCATGAGGCTGGCAAAGGTGCCACCGCCGCCAAAGGCGGCAGCACAAAGATCCTCTACGGATGTATCCGCTGTCGTGGTAATGTTAAGGGATGCTCCAGTTGTTGGGACCCAAACTTTCGGGGCACCCGTCTCCACGGCCGCCAAGCTTGGAGGGAGTACATCGAGGCCCACAAAGCCAACAAGGCCATGAAGAAGGCTCCCAAGAAGTAGTGCCAGGCATGGTTCCAGGCAGTTTGTTTTCTTGCAGGGCAGCACCAAGGGGCCCAGGTGCAGGGTAGCAAGAAGCCACAACAGCCCAGGCAGGGTGCACCGTGCCGACACGAGCAAAAAGACCGCCTGCATGTCTTTGGACAAAGTGATTCTTTGAAGCCATGCCGTGGCCATCCTGCAGCATGCTGTTTCTGTGTATATATGCACTTCCGAGGTCTTTGTTGACGCACTGTGCCCGCCATCGCTTCAGCAACGAAGGTTCCAGACTTCTCCCACGAAGAGGTCCATGCATGTGAGTCTGACATCCACAGCCTATATAGACAGGGATGCAGCCTTCATCCATATAGCACACATACCATTGATTCCCATGTGAAGCAAAGCACATTGCCACTGCCCTTGCCCCCAAACCCACTCTCAGCCATTTTTGGCCATGGAACCTCCACAGAAGAAGAGCAAACTGCAGCAGCTGCTGACCTTCAAAGCTGCTTTGCCAGGTCACTCCCAAAGTGCACTGGCTGCTTTTGTGGAAGTCGCCAAGGAACAAGGCCTCCCAGAGAAGAGCTCTTCCAATGACCAGCGGAAAGCCAGGGAGGAGCTTCTCTACAGAGCTGCCATGGTGGGCTACTGGGTCCTTTGATCCAAGAAGCAGAGGTCACCACCGATGATGGTGCCAAAGTCACCATGTACTTTGCCAACCTCTTGGTTTACCTGGCCAGTCTTTTCCAGATGGGTGGAAGCTTCCCTGATCTGATCCAAAGGAAGCACCGAGCCAACCCATCATCCGTCTCCAAGCCATGGCAACTTATACTTTATGCAGATGAGGTGATACCAGGAAACGTCTTAGGACCTGCCCAACGTAAATTTTGGGCCATTTATGCCAGCTTCAGGGAGATGGACCAATTCCTCCACCACGAGGACCTCTGGCTGACCATCTCTCTTGAAAGGTCCAACTTCGTGAGCCATGTCCAGGGCGGCATCTGCCAGATCATGTCCAAGATCTTGGAAACCATTTTCGCCAATGCCCACGTGGAACCATTGGCAGGGTTTGTGTTGAAATCCCCACATGGCCCAGGTTCCGATGTCCGGCTCCATTTCCGGTGGGCCATATGTCTGGCAGACGGCGGTGCCCATAAGCAGATTTGGTCTTCCAAAGGTGATTCTGGTACCAAATTTTGCATATTATGCGCCAACATCCACTCAGGACCACCCACAGGCGACAACCACGACATCATGGACCACCGCACGACCAAATACAGCCAATTGGTTTTGACCACTGATGAAGACGTCATCCAGTCCTACCGCAGATTAGACGAAAGGCGAGCCACGTGCAGGACCAAAGCAGAATTCTCGCAATGGCAACAAGCCACCGGTTGGACCTGGAATCCCCAGGCCTTGCTCCTGAACCAGACTTTGTTGGCGAAGAACCAAGTGAAGCCAGTCAGCCAGTTCTGCCATGACTGGATGCACGGCATTCTGCAAGGAACGGCCCCAGTCGTGCTGTTCCAGAGCTTCCAAGCCATCTCCGAGCACTACAACATTTGGGAGGCCATGGGCCCATACATAAGGATGTGGAACTTTCCAGGTGCTTCCAAGGCCGGTCACTTGGCTGGTTTGTTCGACACAAGCAAGGTCGCCAAGTACAAGAGCAGCCAGAAGTTCAGTTGCCAAGCTTCGGACCTCCTAGGGCTTTATCCAATCATTCGCCATTTTTTGCATTCTGTTGTTGTGTCAAGCGGAATCTGCCCAGAGGCTTGCCAAGCTTTCTTGAGCCAGGCCTGCTTGATCGACCAGGTTCACCAAGGGGTCATGTATGGAGCCACCACCAGAGCCAGCCTTCTCAGGGCTGCGGAAGAATCCATCGAGACCTTCCAACAGGCCAACTTCGACGTGCCACTGATGCGGAAGTGGCACTGGCTGCTCCACTTGCCTGATATTCTCCAACGGCATGGGTGCCTGCCATCGACATTTACGAGCGAACGAAAGCACAAAACCATATCTGCTTTCGCCACAAGGCTCCAGAAAACAGCCGCCTTCGAGATCCACTTGCTCAACCAGGTGCTCGCCACCGAGATCACCACTTTGACACAGGCCGGGCTGTTTCCAGACTCCTGCCAGTTGGTGAAGCCAAAGAAGCCCAACAAGCACCAGCTGCAATTCCTCAACCAGTTTGTGGATTGCTCAGCAACTGAAGCCATGGTTGCCTCTATCGCGAGGCTCGCAAGGGGTGGTGCCATCCATGCCAACGACGTCGTGGTGTTCCACCAGGAAGACGGAAGATGGGACATGGGCCAAGTGCTTTTCCATTTGGAGCTTGGAGGCGACAAAGCCACACTCGTCCAACGTTGGAGGCCAACAGAGACACAGAAGACAAAGCAGTTCGCCAAGTGCTCCATCACCAACGAGCAAGGCTTCGTGTCCATGGACTCCTTGCTGTACCCAATGGTGTACAGCAAGACCACAGAGAGGGAGGCCACTGTGCTGCTACCGTACCAGCTGTACCACAGGCTTTGAAAAACAGTGCTTCTCAATCCGCCACAAGGCTGTACCACATGCACATGACATTTTTAGCCATAGGCCATGCACGACAGCCTGTCCATGCAGGCCATTGACATGTATTTTTGCTTTAAATTTGTTTGACAAGCTACATGTTTTATATATTTCATTTCCGATACCAGTGTTTATGCTCCATGAAGTGTCTTCTCATATCAGAGTCCCTAGCCTAAACCTCAATGCCAAAACACACAAGTTACTTCTACAATTTTGATGTCTATAACATAAGCTAACTCCACCTAACTTTTTAGCTAACTAACATAACTATGTTAACCACTTATAAAACAACCAGGATTCCAAGTAAGGCCCGTCCAACGAAACCCTGCAACACCCTAACAAAAACCTTCCCAACAAAACCGGACGAACACCCAGCCCCGCACCTAGGAGTTAAGGGCCTTCATGCAGGGCCAATGGGGCCTAACTAGAATACCGTAGGCTTTGCATATGTTACGGTTTCAGCTCAATAAAAGCTGGAGGCAGGCAGGGAACCCGAAACCCTAAGTACCCGAGAATCCGCCGCACACCGCTCGCCCTCCAAACTTCAAAGAAATCCGAAATAATGCCGGGACTTAATATATATATATATATATATATATATATATAATTAGAATAGGGTTTTGGGGGCTCCTTATTATCATTATAGAGTATTTTGCCCCCACGCAAGCCCTACTCTAATTATAAAGACCCGCATAGTAGCGCTAAGCCCTGCACTGGCCCAAAACGATTAAACTCAAGACGCCACAAAACACAACCTAAGCCTAAGCCTCAAACTCCACTCAAGTTTCAAACCTCCATTCCCAAAGCCCCCAATCTAAATAACCCCTAAATCCATGAACTTCTGAACCCTAAAACCCTGTAAACCCTAAACGGCTCGCTGTTTTGGCTCCTCGCACGGTCGGCCACTCGCCTAGGCGACCAGGATCTCGCCAGGAAAGACGGAGAGAACCTCCGACCGACCTGCATCGAAGTATACTGAACTTAGAACCCTAGCAAAAGTTTTAATTTTAGCTGTTTCTTAGGGATTATAATAACCAAAAATTAAAACATATTTCTAAGTACCCCTAAGGACTAGTCAGGGTTCGGATTTCGAAGAGGTTGTTTGGGGCTTTAACAAGGCTTTACAGAAGCTTAACAGGGTTTTGCCAGGTCAAACCCCTAAACCCTAAACCCCTAAACCCTGAACCCTAAACCCTAAACCCCTAAACCCTGAACCCTAAACCCCTAAACCCTAAACCCTAAACCCCTAAACCCTGAACCCTAAACCCGAAACCCCTAAACCCTGAACCCTAAACCCCTAAACCCTAAACCCTAAACCCCTAAACCCTGAACCCTAAACCCGGTCTAAACGTTCTCGTTTACAGTGCCGGGGCCTTTCCAGGGCTTGCATCTAGCAGCTGGCGCATGCATAGGCTCTCATGCCTCTGAGGCCTAATGTCGGCCTTGAAAATTAGAATAGAGTTTTGGGGCATATTCTAGTAGTATTATTGAAATAAGGAACCCTAAGAATAGGATTGGTAATCATTCAGACTTCGAAAGTACATGCATGATCATGACGCATATACTTCTGAGCCCTAGGGGTTTAGAGTATAGGGTACGCCTAAATTGACAGAACGCATGGCCTTGCCGTTGAGATAGATCTGCGAGACAGCCAAGCACTATGTCGGCCTGCATGAGCTAATTCGGAGTTTAAGGTCTGTTCTTAGGGTTTCTTGTCGAGTTGAAGTGGGGGCCATTAGGCTCGCGATTCGCCTGAATGGAAAAGTGTTTGACAGCCAAAGTGCTGCTTGCATGCTGGAGGGCTGAAAAGCCGTGCTCAGTGTCTTGGGAAACGCCCGTAGTTCAAAATGGTTTATGGTTTGCCGGCGAGCCCGAACCTCGTCAACAAACGCAGCAAGTTGGCAAACCCTGCGGTGCCCTAAAACGGCCCGAACACGGGCCCCGAAACACCAAAGGGCCCAGCACCTCAGCTGTTACATTCCTCAGCCCATTCCTCAACCCCTTAACCCAAAAGAACCGACGAGTCCAGCTTGTTGTTCGCCTTTGGTAGCTTGACATCGAAGGCGATGGTACCCGTGTGATCTGGGGAGCTGCGAAACACGTTCAGGGTTGCGGGCTTTCTGGCTTTATGGGTTGACTGGGTTGGCCTTTAAACACCCTGAACAATATATATATATATATATATATATATATATATAGGGCCCCTTATAAGCTCAAATAAGGAATCCCCAAATCCAACCTAGTTGAGGGTTTAGAAGGGCTTCAAGGCTTTAGGGTGGAAGCTGAGGGCCGAGGGTGTTTACGATGTTGGGCTGTAGGGATTGGGACGGCGCTTGTTTATTCGTGTTTCCTTTGGTTTCGGCCGAGCACATCGCTGATTCCGCAAACTGCAGAGCTTCGCGTTGTTCTTGACTTTGGTGTTACGATTGGGGTCTAGGGTTCAGGGCTTATTC